CCTGCATATTAATCAGAATCTGGCCATGTTCCCTTTTGTCAGGCTAGTGTGAATTAATAGTACTGGTAGCAAGATGACATGAGGGTATTGGGTATTCTCAACTGCTCCGATGAAAAGTACCAGAGCCCAGACTATTATCTTGATGATCTCCTGGTTCTTCAATTTAACCCATGATAGCTTTTGAGGCAAGAGGTGAGACCCTCATAACTGCATGATAGTCAGCTTTGCTTGGAATGTATTTTTGTAGAGTTCGATACGATGGCAGGAAACACACAATAACCTCATTAAACTTTAACCATTTATACCTATATCGACTGTATACCAGCATCCCTCTCCAATACATTGCATGTGTTAATTTGTTTCATAGTAATTGTTCACTTGAAACTGGAATGTCGAAACCAGTTGATCCCCAGATCTCGTCCTGGGCCAGGGATATTGCTAATTTAATTATATGCATTTTACGTTAAACCAGAGCCACTTTTGTCGATGTAGCCAAATAGTAGTTATTTGTTGCTGTGTAGTTCTAGAAGAATGCACTTGTTTGATTGATCACAACTATGCTATTAATTATTAATTAATCTGCCATTTGCCAGTCAATTACTTTATAATAAATTATGCGCCATGCGGCCATTCACATTACTATCTAAGATGGCAAGTACGTACGGTACAGGGCGTTAAGTACGTACGGTACAGCTACTTTTAAAGGTACGTACCGTACAGGCCCTATAGGGTACAGACTTTTTGGGAAAAAAATGAAACTTTTTCAAAGTTAGTGGAGTACTTGCAATGTTCCCTTAGTATTATCATAATTTCATTTGAGGTAGTAGTCGAAGAGGAACATGAATTATTAAGATAGTAAATTAACAGTGAGAGATAAAAATGAACATCAAATAACGGAGTAGTTCGCTGTTTATTAGTCTCATGATTGAAATACTGATATCTGGATATTATCCGGTTGGAAGACACAAGGACAAGTGAAACAAGGAAGTTAGGAGTAAGGGCAAATTTTCGGTGTCAACGCCATCTTCAGGCTCAAATTATTTGTTATATAGTAGTGTTGAAAGTATTAAAACTTTAATACTTTCAACACTACTATATAACAAATAATTTGAGCCTGAAGATGGCGTTGACGCCGAAAATTTGCCCTTACTCCTAACTTCCTTGTTTCACTTGTCCTTGTGTCTTCCAACCGGATAATATCCAGATATCAGTATAAAAATGAACAGTGACAGATAAAATCAGTATCACATTTTAATGTGCTTATTGGAGTAAATAAACACTAGTTTTTCAGCCAGCTGAGGCTTCAGCCTCAGCCTTCTTTTATTCATATAATAAGATATTCATATAATAAGATATTCGTAGTCTCTAAAGTTTGTTTCACACATTAATGAGGATTGAGGATGCGCTAAAAATCGCGTAAACAACATCTGCCAACTTTTTCAACCAACATAATTCAAAGCGCCAAATCCAATGTCACATGGTCCAAGTTCCAACCCTTCTTGCTTCTGGAACATTCTTGTACAACTGCTCTAAATCTAATGGTATAAATTGAAATGCAGCGATGAGCGAATTCAGCTTCCATGAAAGTTGTCGTGTGAACGTGGTGTTTGTGCATCTTTTTGCAATTGCAAGCATTGTACCTTTCAGCCCAAGTTTAAAAGTACGTACCGTACAGCTATTTTTAAAGGTACGTACCGTACGTACTTGCCATCTTAGATTACTATTAGGGTTACCGAAAATATTGAATGATTCGGTCGACTGAATATATTCGGTTATCGAATCGCTGGACACCTAATAGACCGAATATATTCGGTCAACCGAAGGCGAATCGCTAACTATTCGCCAAATATTCTGAACCGTCCTCTGTCGCACTTAACTTAAGTTAAGGAGTTAGCACAAGTAAGTAACATTTACTTGCAATGATGAAGCTGGCCCTTCGTCTATAAGTATAACCCAGACAATATTCTCCCAATTCAAGTTAACGAATATCATGGACCTTTAACAGTTTAACCATGTCTTTTGGGCAGCCATCACCTTTTACTATTAGCAAGAGGGAAAAGCAGCGTTGACAAAAGCAGGAGATATTAAATCATGGGGCCGATAAGCCGATTAAAGAATAAATGATATATTCGAATGAATCGAGTCACTTAAATGCGTTTTAACAATGATTCTCTAATGAGACATGATAAGGTTAGTCAAATAAGGTTAGTCAGCCAGTCAACCAGTTACCAGTCAGCCAGTCAACCAGTCCTGCAGTGCTCAAGAGTTTCTATTTCCCAGCTGCCGAGCTTAAATTGTGCCTGATCATGCACTCCAGTTCAATTGTGAGTGATCACTGTTATAGTCGATCTACTTAATACTACATGCCCCTTCTATAACATACGTACATATTACGATTTGTGGGCCGATATCTAATGAAACTACCTGTACTTTTGTAAAGTTTAAAGTAGTAGGAAGTAGGTAGTACCTCCCAAATATGGGTTTAGAGAGCCCTCTCATCGTCACACGATCTCTTTGTGCAATCTCATTAATTTTCATTCCTCCAATATCTAGTTTACCCTTCCAAGGGTAAACTAGATTGGATCCGGTACTGCTGACTTTAACCGCACTCTCTTAGCAATACTTAGATTAGAAAAACGATAGTAGATAAGAAAAACGTCTTCAATGTGAGAGCTTTTGTTCATTTCCCTGAGCTTCTTGCTGTTTTTCTACGAGGAGTTCGTGTGCTCCGATAGTCTACGGTAGTTGGAAGCTGTTTGATTGTAGTCACGTGACATAACAATATTGGTCACCTCCTCGCCAGTAGCCATATCCATAACAGTATAACGATTAATGAACTCGGAGTTTAATATTTGTTGTGCCAGGAATGGTACGGCATGAAGATACAAGATACACTTTACAATGATATAGCTATAACCAGTAAAGTTAAACAAACTGATTTGATTCAATTAGCGATGATCTTCTCAAATATAAGTATAACCATTGCATGCTCGGCCACATCATCATAAAGATACTGGTTGATCATAACGCGGGCGTTGCCGTCGAATAATTTTGTTAGGTTGGGTACCGGTATATCCAACTTCTTAGATAGGTATAATGATACCATCTTTGTTCAGTCTACACATGGTAGTGGAAGCATGATCAGCTTTACAGTTACCGTCACCATATTGATATAATTATATATGGGATCAGTGTTCGTGTCATGTGTAGTAGGTTGCCTTGTTCGTTCACGAGTAAATACCAATCAGCGAGAATGGGAAGAATGAGTTTATATTCATTATTGTTATAGATTATATGCACTTTGGTAATTAACTTTGGGCCTGAGGCAGTGTGTTATTCCTATTTGCAGTAAATACTCACCGATTGACTGCAGCCTAGATTCGATTTTTCTACCATCGACCATCTGAACATATAACCACTTCCCTAGGTACTCTGGGGAAAGGAGAGGCCCGGTTTATCGAGGTCCATGGTATAGATCAGAAGCACGTTAATTAATATAAAGAGGCACGGATTATCGAGGTACCCGGTATAGAGTGGTTTACTGCACATATACTAGTAGGGACCACATCATCGGTGCCTCGGTTGATCACTTAAAGATGGTCCATCTTCCTTTGTTGCACATTTCCCAGCTCTTAAGTCTGCAAGGTGTGTTGCAGATCTCACCTTGTAGCTGTACTCTGGTCATTATAACTTTATAATTCTAAATTTATCATTCGAGTGTTTGAAGGAGAGGTAGTATATTACAGGTGTAGTTTGAAATTAACGTTCCTATCAGCGTCATGTAAAGTTGCCGTCATGGTATTTTCAAGATACAGGTCTATTATTAGATATCAAAATATCATGGTTTCTGCACGTCATTTCTGATTTCATAACTTGAGCCCATAGTTAAATTATCGCAATCTTGATTTGCTTCTGCTTTAATTTTTGATAACTGATTTGCCCGTGGACTTCGGAAAATTACCAATTTTACTGTTCATGATCCGTGCATGTAGAGTGTAGACGCTGGTTTAGGTTACAATTACAGCTTCTTCCATCCAAAATATTCATGATTCGGTACGTGTGATCGACATTTAAAAGCTAAGTTGTCTACCGGTTCTGTCCCCTGTCCTGAGTCTTTATATTCTAATTATCTGATTGTTAATTTTTAATTTGTTAATTTGATACCATTACACCTGGAGGCGTATCATTACTCATTCTCCCACGGTTCAACTGAATACGGTGCCAAACACAGCTCACTTAAGTGTTGTATTTTAATTTGTTAGTCAAATTAAGCTGTTCAAATATAATTTGTCGTGCTTACTCTGATGCATTTGACTTGTCTGGGATTTTATCTCCAGCACAAAAGTTATGTCTTTAAAAGGTAACTTATGAAATAATTAAGCGTGCAACTTGTTTAGATATAAATATTATGTCGGATGATTGCACTTACGGCAGACATATTATACCAACATTGCTTATGACTGATTTAGTTTGTTTCTGTTCTTTTTTCGTATTGTTTTAATCCAGTTAGTTTGAACTAGTTCTCTTTGTTCTGTTGCAGTGGTAACACGATATCTAAAATTGCAGACTACCACTGCACTATACAGCTGCCTGATCGAGATACAGTACCGAGTAACTTGAAGGGGCCGCACCACCGCGCCACCGCTGCTCAGATTGTATCTTAATTAAAGTTAACTCCTTTCTGCCATTACCTTTCTGCCATGTTGTCGATTAGTATTTAGTGGCTGCTAGTAGGAAAAGTAATTTCTTGATAAGTCAAAGTGGGATTCACGGAGATTTGTTCGCTCCTTATTTTACTCAAGTGTCAGACATTAATTTTACATGTCAGACGCTACCTTACTATCAGCTTTCTTCGATCAACATTCGTACTTCGTGCTTTAATTCTTCTTAGACTACATCAGAATATCTGTATTTGCGGCGATTTTGTAAAATACACATTTTCTTGATTTACTGATAATGATTTTCATCGACGTTACTCCCAACAGCTGTATAACTGAGAATGTAACGTCACGATCTGAGACCACATTCAGATCACCCAACAGAGTGTCGTTACACCTCTGCAATAATCAATGAGCTCGTGAGAAGTCTACATAAAGAAAACTGCGATTAGAATAATACTTCCGGAAGTACAAACCAGCAGAGATTGAGTTCAAATACGCAGTGCCCCCGCCCTCTATGAGGGCAGTTAGTTCCCCTCAGCCAGCTTTCACTCCTCTCAACCATATTACTGTTAATGGGGAGCCACGCGAGACTAACGTCAAACCAACGTGAGTAAACCTTAAAAGCACGAGGTGTTTTGAAATGTTTGTAAGTTTCTCAATACTTATTATCTTGTGGTAGCTTGTAATAGTGGATAAGCATGGGTAGGAATCTTTTTAATCAACTAACAGCAATCGACATGTTAACCGAATCATCTTCTCCGACAAAATTGCCAATAGTTGTGAACATTTTACAATATAAATATGATTCAATTTGAGTAATTAATTGGCCCCTTAGACGGACGATATGTGGAGTGAAGGCTAAGATCGTGGTGGCAGCGGTTTTACTCTTGCTCCTCCTCATTATCCTCACTGCTGCTATTGTCATGATAGCGGTCGCTTCAGCTAAAAAGGAGGCTAAAGAAACCTCTACTTCTGAGCCCGTCCAGGTTTAAACTTCTTTTCACCTGCTTGATTGAGAAAAATAAAACGAAACACTTATATCTTTTAGTTAAGCGCTTTGCTGAAAGACGAAACTCGCCTATCATTAGATCCTATCTCTATAAGTATAATAGATAACTGTTCGCACGTTTCCAGAAAATCTAAATTAACCCGCAGAATTAGATCTCAATTTCCCAGGAAGCCACCAGCTCGAGTATAACAGTTCCCGTCTCAGACCGGATATTCTGTCCTCTGAAAGACATCATCCTCCTGTGTCAAGGGGGGATGTTTGTACAGTAATGTGGATCTGGAGGGGGAACCTGTCTCCGCTTCAATTCCCAAGTTAGTTTTGTAGCAACATTCCTAGACTTTTAATATGGTCTTATCCTGATTCCTGATTATTTATCTCATCCTATTTATCATTTGCCATCGTTATGGGTTCTATTAATTTTCAGGTGCTTCTACCCAAAAGACAGTTTCGTTTTATCTTCCTCAAGCAACATTGGAAACAGAACTGCTTATGTTACCGACGGGACAGTCTCCAATGGTACAGAAATCACGGCAACGCTTGACGATTCAGAAAACGATTCATTGACTCTCATCATAAACAATAGCAGTAACAACAAATCTAAGAGACAAACAAACTCCTCAGAAAATTCAGAAAATTCAGAGGATTCAGAGAAATTAGAGAACCAATCGAACTATGAAATAAGCTATGGCATATCATTTGGTTTCAATATAACACGAGACAAAGAGGTTATTTTTAGGCTGGAAAACAAGTCTAGTCTCAGTGTTATGAAGAATTTTATTAGTTTATCGATAGCAGTTCCTCAATATTCCAAAGCGTATGGTCTGGGAGAATTCAGTAAGCTTGAGAAGATATTCGATGATTCCATCTATTCTGTGAGTTTTTGAAAGTAAGCCTTTCCTATTAACATTGTCAACGTTGCACACGTTTTCAATATTAATTATAATTTCCTCAATTGCTTTATAAGAAAACTGGTTTAGACTTTAGAAGAAACGTTTGATTGTGTAAGCACTTAGCATCCCTACCATATTTGTATTCTATATGGTTGACTATATTGGTATAATCATTCGAATCTCTCGACAGATGTGGACAAGATCTGACGAGGAAGGGGCTCACCCGTTTATATTACTGCTTTCAAATAATGGGACTGCGAGTGGAATCTACATTGATAGCACCTACCCAATGGATATCACACTCAAGCGAGACTATAATATCAATATTGTAATCCTTCAAACCGAACTGAAGATAAGGTTTAGTTCGATTAAAATCTGTGAGAAATTGTTTCCCATTTCTTGTTTCAGCCCAACATAAGGATATTAGATATCTACTCTGTCAACATCAACCCTTCAATCCCTTCCTCTTCAGGTTTTTCACAGGACCCACAGTAGCAGATGTAATTAGGCAGTACTGGGATGTTATTGGTGCTCCTTGTAGACCCCCTTACTGGGGGTTGGGACATTTCTACGGTAGTGAGAAGATTGCCTCTCACAAGGAACTCTTAGAACTGATCCAAACTAATCATACGACACTTGGAAAGCTTCCAGTGGAAGGTTGGCATTTTTCACGTTTTACAAATTAATCTAATTTTTAATCTTGATACGCAATCAAATAGCTATCAATTTTTAAACATTGTTACAACATCAAGACGGACTTGTAGCTGCTTAACTATTGTAATTTAACTATTGATTAACTTTTACAATTTATCTTTTTCAGGGATTCTGCTGCCCAGCGCAATGAACAGAGCATCTCTCCCCTTCTCCTACACTCAACAAACACGTGACTATATCAAGAGCGTTACTGATAACCAGAAACTGAGGTTTATCGTCACTGTCCCTCCAGGAATCACCTCTCTACCAGTTAGTTGATAGTTGATCAGTAGTATTGCAGGTTGATTATGAGTTGATGGTGACAGAATAAAGGGAAATGTAGTGATGTGAATGTCTTGTCTGTACAGTAATCCTTCCAAATGTAATCACATCAAGAGTTGCCAAACTATCAAAATATTGCCAGTTATACCCCCAATCTTCTAAACTAACCCCCTCAGAAGAGGAAACCCACTACATGGACTCAGCAGGAATAGACCAGAAGGTGTTCATCTCCAGAACCAGCGAGGGTGATCCTCTACAGGGGTACTACAAGAACAAGATGGTTAAATATCCTGACTTTACCTCCTCAAACACCGCCACGTGGTGGCATTCCAACCTCACCGAATACTCTAACGGGTAGGTCATGGTATTTCGGTGATTACACTGTAAAATAAGTCACCATATTATCATTAACATATTGTGTTGAAGCCTATTCATTCTGACTCATTTAGTACCTTTTAAATGCACGCAATGTAGGGTATTCTCATTTCTCTATTGATCTGGAGATCTCAAGATTAACGAAGTGTCTGAACCTCTACAGGTACGGGTTCCATCTACACCAGAACACACCTTATAGCCAGATCAATGGGTCGGTAGGAGTCTGCTCCGACTTAGCCCCTGATGTTAACCTGGCTACGGACATTCTCAATGTTAGTGTTCATACCTTGCCACTATGACTTTAATAAAGACTATAATATAAAGAATATAATGTAGTAATTACGATTATTGGAATCTGCCCCAAAATTTAGCCCTCGCCCCTTATTTGGTGCTTTTAACGATTGTGCAAAGTTAAAGTATTTTCATAAATGCCGGCTTATTTAAGCCATTTAGTAAATGATTTAAGCCAGCAGTAAATAAGGAAATTATTTACTGCTGATTTTATGGATGAATCTCAATGTTAAAATTCTCCATCAACTAAAGTTCCATATTTCCGAATGTTTCCGATTGCTTACAAACAATAAAAATGATTTCAAGTATGAGGAATCATGGAACAAAATGTTGTTATCGTTTGCATTCTGCAAGTAACCATGGTAACTCAATAAGTGAAGACCCAAATTCACGTAACAGTTCAACCCCTCAGTTAAGAAACCTAGAGGAGAACACACTGTGTTTGTCCGGTCTAAACAAGAAAGGAAATCAACTGGAACTACACAACCATTTCTCCTGCCAGCAAGCCATGGCTACTCAGAGCGCTCTTAAACCATATAGCGTTAGCAAACAACCACTCGTGGTTAGGACACCTTAAGAATTCTAACTATTAAATACATCAAGTTGTCACTGAAGAGGACTTAATGTGTATTTTCCATTCCAAGTATTTTCCTTTCCGATATCAAGGATCTATTCAATTACTCATGATTTAATTATCACGTGATAATGAGAGGACGTTCTTATCATATGTGGATAACGTGTTGTTCAGGTGAGCGATGGCACTAGTCCCGGTATTGGAGCAGTTGCCGGACATTTCCACGATTCTAACGTAGACAACCCTAATGATCTGACGGGACTTAAAGCAGCTCTCAATGAAATGGTTACGTTCAACTTCTTGGGAGTGACTATTGTGGGACCTAATATTTGTACTAAAGGTAACATATCTTCCGAGATTCAGCTTAGAGTTAGTTATCCTTATTTCAGAAAAATCATTTATCCTCGGTTACTTCCCCACATTTGCTTTAACCATATTTAAAACTACCTTCTTAGACCTCCTTGCTTAGTTAATCATCAACATTGATAAAAACCATTTTACCTTTAATTATGGAACCATGACCCCGCGCCACTAAAAACCCAGCCAGTCCCACAACTATCACTAATTACCATAATTATTGTGCAAGCTGACTTTTCGGTTCACTTATCTCACTATCTCATTGTATATAAAGCGAGACGGTATTATATCATACAAAACCCTCAGAGTATTCGACCTCTGAAGCCTGTCTGAAGTGGTACTACCTCTCCGTAATCTCCCCTCTTGCCTGGAGTCTGAGCTCTAATCTACCCCACCTCTTCGCTGGTGACGACACTTTCAGACAAAAAGTTTCAACCGTATTACAGTTTAGGTTTGCTTTCCTTTCATTAGAATATAACATGCTAATTGTTACCTGGAGACCTGACGCTAACTTGTTCACAAACATTTAGTGGATCTTAGATGTGGTAGAGAGAGGCTGGTGCCGTCCAATAATCCTTCCTTACAAGAAACAAGAGTCGAGATACCGTGACACTAATTTCATTATTATCAATTGGATCTTGATCACTATCAAAGTGATCAAGATCCACTGGATCTGGATCACTTTGAAAGTATCATCCAGGTACTACCCCCTCCTGGTACTAGTTCCTTTCTGCACAACCTAACCCAGAAACACCCCAGGCAGACCCTCCTCCACTACCACTACGATACACTCTACAAAGCCCACGTGTCAAGTGAAGTACCTCTGAGGTTCCTAACATTTGACTACCCTGCAGATGAGAGTGCTGGTCTATATCAGGATCAGGTGCTGTTTGGAGATGCTATCCTCTACACTCCTATTCTTAGAACGGGTATTTTACATGCAGTAATTATCATGATAAGCAAAGTATTTTGGCCATAAGATTACGTGCAGTGTTGTCAATTGCCATGTTATGAGTTAGCGTGGTTGATGAGATAAATTGTTAGCACTAACGTGCCTGAGACAAAGGTTATAATCGATAATTATCTCATTTAAATGAAACAATTTGCGACTGGTCATTATTCTAGCTGTGTTCATTAACCGAACCTCTCCCTTAGAAAGTACAACTATTTAATGACAGTTGCTTATTACTATTCAGGAGAGGAGTTCAGAGTAAGTTACTTACCTTCTGGAACCTGGTGTAACTGGGTAGATGGCTCCTGCTACCACGGCCCCACTGAAGTCAAGGTTCTGGGCTCCAACTCCCCCGCTAGTTTTACATTTTTGAAAGGTGGAACTGCGGTTATGACTCAGAATTCGGCTAACACTACTGAAGCAAGCCGGGAGCAGAAGGTATGTTTAGGACAAGGAAACAACTTAAAAACTTGTTATATTATAAAATTTGTATCGATAAAATTTATTGAAGCAAAATTGTTTAGAAAAAGAAGCTCGATAACATTCAACCACTCGCATGAGTATTCAAAACTTTGCTTCAAGTCATATTCTGATTTCCTTTAAGTTTTGACCCATATCTCTGAACCATGATTCATAAAATTAAATGGTGATTTCTGCAGCACCCAAACCTAATCCTTTAGCTTTGCCTTCATCGTAAGGTTAAACACGAGGACTTCACAGTTGCCTTAACTCTTCAAGGCGTCATGGTGTTGCTGGTTCAACATCAATAAACAACGGACGAGAATCCAGAATACTCCTATGATCCGGATAACTCCGGATACCTTCACACTGAGGTTGTCCATTGCTCTGAGGTTGTCCATGATATCTGTCCTTATTGTAACTGACTTCCTGGTAAGTTGGAGGATCTGGTACCCCGTCCTCATCTTCAGAGAGGGTTCCTCTTAACAATTTGTTGTCTGTACTGATACCCAGAGGTGTGTCCTCGTCACCGTTACACTCTTCGTAGTGAGTAATGGAGATGGTGCGGGTAGCTGCAGTTATCAGCGACTGGAGGGCGGGTGGGGCGCCTGAAATGGAGGTTCTGATACCGGTTTAGTTAAATGTTACATCCTACTTTAGTTTAGTTAAATGTTACATCCTACTTTAGTTTAATATCAGTTAAGAATGATGCTAGTTAAAATAAAATTTGGGCAAATTTTTCACTGTATTATTTGCCCATGGAACTAAAGGGTAAGTGCACCGTTTGCTTAGGGAGACAGAAGGGCTTTCCTCAAAAATGAGATGACTCCACTCTATTCGTGAAATAATTTATCATGACATAAATATTAAAAAACATGCTGAGCTACACAATTGTGGTAATTATATAATTAGTAAGTTGCAGGTATCAACCACCAACCGCAACCGCAGACACCCGCCCAACAAAATAATAAATATACCTGCTCTTTGAGGGGGCATATCGTCGTCTTTACACTTCTTCAAGACAAACTGATACACAACAATTCCCAGGACGATCATGCCCACAACGAAAATAATCATAGTTGATATCTGAGCAAACTTGTCCGGCGTTTCTTCTTCCTCTTTTGGAATAAAAATTAAGGATTAGCATATTACTTAAGTAGTTAGTAGCTCAAACTCAGTAATCGAGATCCAATATAGTTCTATAATAAAGGCATAAGTTATAAATTCTTCAGTTGAATTGACACAGTAACTGTTTCCGAGTAAATGTTTCCGCGTAAATTTGTGACTTTATCTACATACTTGTAACTGCATTTAAGAAGCAAAGGCGATGAAATCTTACAAGTTCAAAGTTAAGAATTAAAGGATTCTTTTGCTAATCACTACTAATAATCATCTCTATTTATATTGGGGAAGGTTTCTTGGCTTTAATGAATTGTAAAGGCCATGTCTAGTTAGTGGCACCAATAGAAATATTCAATATTCAATATTCATCTTATAACTTTTGGATTATGAACGATGGAATATAAAATGGAATTATTACTAGGTTAAGATAGCGATATCCAATAAAGAATGAAGAAACATTGCAAAACATGATATATTGCAAGATAAGATATATATTGCAAGAGTCAAGACACGATAAGATAATCACCATGGTAATAGTCAGGGAACCAGGGGGTGTTAGTTGTGGGAGACACGAAGTTAGTACGAGGTAACCAGGGTGTTGTCAGACTAGGTCGCTCCTTAAGATGATCATCATGTAGGTCTAGTAGCTCTTCTTCTTTTAATCTCATTTGTCATCCCTTGGGTAGACGTATCTGTCATAATAAACTGGTATTTGCAACAACAAATAACATCTGTCATAATAAACTGGTATTTGCAAAAAAAGGAGATGATCGAAAGCTTGGTGGTTTGGTGTGGTATACAAAACCAGCTAATTAGCATGTTAGCCGAGCAATTGCTTCGAGTTGAAAGGTACCTATGTATAAACTTATAAAGGAAGTTTGACAAAGAATATACTCATAAAATAAAACTTCAAACAAGATGGGTGGAGTCACGTACTAGTGGAGTCACGTACTAGTGGAGTCACGTACTAGTGGATTCACGTACTAGTGGAGTCACGTACTAGTGGAGTCACGTACTAGTGGATTCACGTACTAGTGGAGTCACGCACTAGTGGAGTCACGTACTAGTGGAATCACGTACTAGTGGAGTCACGTACAAGATAAACTGACTGACGATAATTATAAATGGAGCTTCAAAAATACCCGATATAACACATTACACAAAGCTCACAACGCTTTAAATTAGCACGTTGATATAATGTACGCACACCAATTAGAAGCATGACGGCTACCAGGCTGATAAAGATAATTGATAATTCGGAATAATACAGCGTAGCTGCAGCTGCTGGTCAAAAATATGCACGGACGGTTCACAGTTGAAAAATTGCCTTTTTACGTTTATGCCCTGTACGGCTTCTTCCCTGAATTATAATCGATTGTTTTGGTGGATGACGTCAATATCATGAACCAAACTCCAACTAACTGATATCGTATTATAACCAATGAGGAGAAGCGAAATAGGGGACAAAAAATACCAACATACCAATCGGTCAGCATTAGTGCAGAATAAAATGGCTATAAAGTAGTCAGATGAAATTTCGCAAGCTAAAGACCCCTGAATAAGATGGGAATCGTCTGGAAAGTCGGAGAGGCAGTTGGAAAGGGTAGAGAGTAATTGCTTCTAATGGATACCCGGGATATCCATTGTGATGTGGCCAGGCTATTGGGCGAGAGACTGGGTTATCAGCTAATATTTAGAGGCGCTTCGGGGCTGAAGGAGCGATAAAATGTTCTCCTAGACTGTGAAATTCCCACAATTACTGTTTCCCGGACTGGATTTAAAATAACCGTGAATAATTATGTACAGCCATTGTTAAATTAGGAAACTATTCTGTAATCTCCAATTGATATTCGGTTTGTAGTAGATATTCGAGAATATGCTATCGTCGACTTGGTCATTTGTCTAGTCGCTGGCTAGCATGCATAATTGGTTTGGCAATTTGATTGCGGAGTAGGGAAAGTAGGTCACAGTTCAATGAGCATCATCCGTTTATGATTCATAAATATCTAATACGGCTTTTGTTTCTGAGTGAAAAAAATAAAGTTCATCAATGATATTGGCTACATGTGAATATAAACTTAAATATTTAAAAATAATACTTACGCGAGTATGCTTAATAATGAAATAAAACATATTTTATCATAACCAGATATCAGATGAACTCAAAAATATGACACGAGTTTATAAACTTAATTCTATAAATTGTTCTATAAACTGTTTTAGGCGTTCGAATCCCTATTTGTAATTCGGCCGTATTTATTACTAAATTTTCTGTGGCATATTATTGTAGAAATATGTTGGATAATTTTAACCATATTTTTAACCATATACATATCAAAAAATTTGAAAACATAAATATCAAATATGACGTTAAAACGTCGACCATTAAGAAATTTTTTAAAAAGTTTTCCTCAGTCGCACGTACTTGATTATCAAAAATTTCAAACATTCAACTTTGTTACTAATATCCGATTATTAGTCTTTATTATTCTGCCATCTCACAAGTCTTGCACCAGGTTCGGCTGATCGTGGTGCTCGACGAGTCCGGACAAGCCAACAGTACCAGGCTCTTTGACGACGGAGACACAGCCAACAGCTTGGACACAAAATACTACACTCTGGTCAACTACAGGGCTGTTAATAATTCTCTAAGTGTTACTTTGCCACAGAGGGGATACAGGGGAGGGTAAGTCTTGAAACCATGATGTTAAATTTTTATCGTATCAGCACCAAATATTTATTGTATTCGTGCTGCAGTTTTTGAGATGAAATAAAGATATGATATAAGCCAGATTATTTTGCCAGAAACACGAACCCAGATAATATAGTCTTATGATAACGATGCTCAATTCAAAGTTATTTTTCAGCACTGAGTTTTTGTATTCGTGCTTATTTATAAAATTGCATACAACATAATGCAGATTTAAAACGATTTTCCAGCCTGTAATTAAACGTCTCCTGTATGGTTCATGCGTTACGATAATAGACATTTTTAACTTTGAACTTTTAGAGACATTTTTTATTGGGGCTTCCCTCACAGTAGGGACAACCGTTCATATAATGAAGGTATTACAAATTATATAAGTAATTATTTACGCTATCCCACTACCCCAGAGACAGAAAAAAAGAATGCAATATAATATTAATAGTTTATTGGGAATATCTACTGAATCAGCCCCGATTAAAAACAACCGAACCATTTGATTTAAAACGAAGTACGAAACCCATTATATTCTATAAATACACTATTATTAACTACAAACAAAATACCGATAAAACTCTAAACTTCAGAGTGATGAAAATGAAATACGAACGGATACTAGTGTACGGGCTTCCCAAGAAAGTGATCTCCGTGACCCGAGTGGAAAAGAAGCAGCAAATCCGGGTAAGCAGTCTGGTAGCCGGAGACACCCACTTTTATAAACTGGTCGTCTCAGACACTAATGTTGAGATAGAGCTAAACCAGGAGTTTGAACTCAAGTGGGAGCTTCAAGATGGCCACGGATGATTCCGATAAATGATGTTTTTGTCTCAACAATGATGCACAACAAACAAACAATCCTACACGAAACAACTGCGACCATCGTAACCAATCGAAAATGTAAATAGAATAAAACGTGTGTGGAGTCTTAAAGTTAAAGCTTAGAGGAGAACAGCTGAATAAAACTCACAAAGCATATATTGTGATAGTGTTACTCTGTCAATGGGCTCTAAAGGGTATAACTTTAAAATGCTGGAGCAGCGGGCGTTATGATATAACAGATTACAGACGCAAACCTTTTGACGTGCAAAATTCCTGGAGGGGAATTGCACTGCTTGACACTAGCAATATTTCTTGACTTTGACACATGCAAGTGGCAAGTTTGCCTGAATTATTTATTTCCCGACAAATTTGTTATATCTACGACAATTTATTTATGTATTTGCAAATACAATTGATTTACTATGTTTATTTTTTCCAAATCGTGTCACATTTTAAATAAAGGGTTGGACAGCCCAAAACTAAAAGGGGATGATTGTGGCAGAATTTACCTGGGGACCCCTGGCTATTATGTTCATAAAAATATGTTCATAAAACATATCCGCCGAATAGAGATTCGGTGGAATGACAGGTTGAGCGCCGCCTAGTAAGGCAGAATAAGACACAGATTGGACGAAATGCATAATTATATGATTCATATTAATTGCCATGTCAATGAGCAAGAAAGTCTGGCGATTATCGAAAACAAGGAATTAATGAAAATGTAAACGACGACGTTTTATGCCAAAAGTCACGATTACCGTTATCACATTTGCAACTGTTAAATGTGATGATAAACATGTCGGCATCAACACTGTTAAATTAGGGTTCTGCAGAAATCAAAAGGATGATTTATAAATATAATGATAGACAGCTTAACCAGACTTCAATACAGTGCACGTACAATTTTAGTATATTATGCAGTCTCTTTAACGGCCAAATAAATTTTCAAATCTATCTGATGACGTTTGTTTATACCTGAGGACTTCTTGACTTTCAGTATTTTGGCAAAGAGAGAGGCTGGCCCTGCCCAGTAAAGTCTGTATCAGTATCACTACACGTAACGATACATAATGATAATGAATGCTCAGACATCAAAATGCCTGAATAATAGTTCTTTTACTGAAATGAAACCAACATCACGAAGCAGCAACACATTAATAGCCGAAAACGTCTATCAAAATTACTGGTATTGTTCTATCGTTTTACACCCGATTTTAATTCTTTAATAATGACTGTAATGTACGAATCGATGACAGTTGAGGAAATACGTGAGGAAATATGTGACATAAACCAGTTCAGTTGGCACATAAATAAAAGAGAAACACTCTGCCAGTCTGCCTAGTGCCTACCACATCTGTTAGACTCTAACAGATGTTTATATTTGTTGACGATTGATCGAGTTCATGCATACTGTATAGATTTGGACGAAAGATCGGCACGTTTGAGACTGATGTGGACTGTGAAGGAGATGGTCCGAACCATATATAGTGATACTTCAGATCAGATACAGAGCTAATCGATGAAAGATCAGAATCCATTTCCGAACAATGACCATTTCGGCGGAACATCCACTAATGGTAAAAATCGAAGAAGCAAAATCATATAGCACCAATGTACATTGTACATGCACATGGCAACTGGCATGGATGTACTGTGCTTATCGTAAAAAGCGACCGTAGTCGAAGGTTTGGTTGATCTTTAAAATCTGAATTCGTTTCAAATCTTTGAAGGGGTCGTCATAGCATCTCAAACACGAAACCAGAAACACACCTAAACTTCGTGATTCATCGAATTTCAGTTTTTAAGTTTCGACTAGTAATTTTATACCACTATAAGCATACTACTGCATTGAAATACATCGGAGCAACGCAAAAACACTCTGTTGTGTTATCAAAGTAAACAAATTGTTAAACACACAAGCACGATCGACGATCGTTACTGCGGTTTTACAGAACTTAAACACGTTATAAGTTTAGATGAATACACTTAAATGAGAACACACTACTCAACTACTGGTAACGACACCGGCCCTTCAGGGAAATGTAACTTCCTCTACACCTAAAGTTCAGTGCAAAGCACTGTAGTAAAACGCCTGTGCTTTAAGGTTCATATTGATTATTGAGACGTAACGAAATTGAAAAATAAGGGCGAATTTTTGCTTCGCATTACATTTACAACCAGTGCTTATACCACGGTATCGACAGCCATACTAAATTGCGCTGTGCCCTGTAGAAGATCTAATCCTATAAAAAGTACTTACAATGAATTTATTGCCCCGTTGGGATGCATAATTCTGTCCTGCAGTATTCCGACTTCAGTCAGAGTCTTTAATCGATGTATGATGGGGCCATTTGAAATCCATAATTTTATCGAAAATGCAAGGAATTCTTTTTTGGTATTTTTTATTACATATTAGGGTCTCTTCTGGAATCTGGATCCCATCATTCACTTGCAAATATAATACCAAATACGGGCAGATAATAGTTTTGTCAGATGCCCCTGTATTATATGACATGAAGCTGTATCTTATGTGACATCTTTGATATTAAGGTAATCAAATTAATAAGTTTGTCTGCTTGTTTATATACACGTCAATCAGATAATACACTCTTTTGGATGGAAATCACCGTGGATAGCCGATAGAACAGCCAAATTACGAATCGAAATACGTTATTGGTTATACGAAAAATAGTTAATTGGGAAAATCGGGAGTGAGCAGGAATCACTGGGTTTTAGAAGTCCATTTTAGGGGGCGCCAAATTTTTCGTTTGTATGTGAGAAAAATAAAATTTTGGAAAAATTAACGAGGTACTAGCAAAACTACGCGTTTTGCTCGAGAAACACACTTTTTTAGAGATTTTATACCGGCACGGCCACGTTGTTAACCATTAACAAAAAGAGCGAAATCCTTAATGTACTAGGTTCAGTGGTTCGTCTGCGTCTGTCTAAGTAAGCTAGTTCGTCGTATAATAGTTTACGGACTGAGATGAAGTGGAGACCTCTTTCGAATCCGTGACAGCAATCCTTCCCCCATTGCATCAAATGGCTATGCAGAGTCAGAGAGGAGGACGACGCGAGGGCGATGAGAATCAAGATTTTACTTGGTTCCATTGCAGTAATGTTGTTTATATTCGCAAAAGAGAGGTGATGTGAATTGTGAGTACTGACTACTGAGTAGCACTGAGTGTTTGCGTGCAAACATACGCTATAAATGCAGGTTGTCAATGGTTGAAGTAGTTGGCAGGTGTAATTCCCGAAATTCCGATGTTTTCGGGCGCTGTTTCATCTTCGGATAGATACCAAATTCCTTCTAGAATCAAGAATATTTCTGGCATTCGCCTCCTAAAGAGAGGAGTTAGCCAGTCACCATATAGTAGGTACAAGATCAAAGATCACCGTTGACTGCAGTACACGGCATACGGTCCTGTCAGCTAGCTATAACATAGATTCAACTTATTTTACTCGCGCGCGATCGTCCGGCCGGCCGTACGTACGTCGCGCGCGATCGTCCGGCCGGCCGTACGTACGTCGCGCGCGTGACAAATGGCGCGATGAAATCTAGATGTTTGTCAGTGCGCCGTACAATATTTGCGATCAGAAGACGTTTCCCTGAATTTTGTAGTGGATTTTGCGCGCCGCACGTACGTTACAATATTTCACGGTGGAAAATATTGACCATTTCGCAGATTTTAATCTTGCAACGATTATCGCGCGTTTATCGCATGCGAGACGATTATCGTTGTGGTGCACGATTATCGCGGTACTTGACGATAAACGCGTGATTATCGCAGGATCGTTTTTTTATCGCACGATAATTGTGATGTCGTACTGTCATCGCACGATAATTGTTATGTCGCACTGATATCGCACGATAATCGAAAACACATGACAATAACCCCTTTAGTACAGGTAATGTGATATAATAACATGGTATGAATTCTAATCTCTTTACATTATAACGTTGGTGCGTGTGGTTGTTCATACTTTATTTATGATGACAGGAATCTACTGATCACTGTAATGTGGACACAATAATTGGCGCAATTTATCATTGTAGAATCTACGACAGTAGAAGTCAGAAGTCTCAATAAACTGCTCGTACTTATACTTTTATAGAAACTTATAAGATATGAAAATCTAAGTAACACATCCACCCCACTCAGGCCGCCCATCCCAAATAGCTTGAAATCTGTGAAAAATCCCTAAAAATCGAGAATGAGAATCTTTACCCCTGGGCCCTGAGGGGATTTGTGTTGCTGAGTATTTGAAAAATGTTTGGTGGTTAAATAGGTAGTACATATCCCTAACCATCACAAAGACCAAGCTCTTGAACCACTCAAGCCACTCCCAGAGGCCATGTCAATCCCAAAATTACTGAAATCTTGGTAAAATTCAAATCGAGAATCTTTACCCCTGTAGTGCTTTTATGTTCCAGGGTAGGTGGGACATGTTTTAGTTTAAAAATGGGTTCTACCTGTCCCAAACCATCATAAAAATCAAGTTTCGACCTCTCAACCCACTCAGGCCACTCCCAGGGGCCACGCCCATCCCAAAATTACCGAAATCCAGCTAAAATCAAGACTTTAAAATCTTTACCCCTGTAGTGCTTTTATGTTCCGGGGTAGGTGGGACATGTTTTAGTTTAAAAATGGGTTCTAACTGTCCCAAACCATCATAAAAATCAAGTTTCGACCTCTCAACCCACTCAGGCCACTCCCAGGGGCCACGCCCATCCCAAAATTACCGAAATCCAGCTAAAATCTTAAAATCCAAACTTTAAAATCTTTACCCCTGTAGTGCTTTTATGTTCCGGGGTAGGTGGGACATGTTTAAGTTTAAAAATGGGTTCTGCCTGTCCCAAACCATCATAAAAATCAAGTTTCGACCTCTCAACCCACTCGGGCCACTCCCAGGGGCCACGCCCATCCCAAAATGACCGAAATCCAGCTAAATCCAGACTTTAAAATCTTTACCCCTGTAGTGCTTTTATGTTCCGGGGTAGGTGGGACATGTTTTAGTTTAAAAATGGGTTCTACCTGTCCCAAACCATCATAAAAATCAAGTTTCGACCTCTCAACCCACTCAGGCCACTCCCAGGGGCCACGCCCATCCCAAAATTACCGAAATCCAGCTAAAATCCAGACTTTCAAATCTTTACCCCTGTAGTGCTTTTATGTTCCGGGGTAGGTGGGACATGTTTAAGTTTAAAAATGGGTTCTACCTGTCCCAAACCATCATAAAAATCAAGTTTCGACCTCTCAACCCACTCAGGCCACTCCCAGGGGCCACGCCCATCCCAAAATTACCGAAATCCAGCTAAAATTCAGACTTTAAAATCTTTACCCCAGTAGTGCTTTTATGTTCCGGGGTAGGTGGGAC